ATGTTATTACAACTGCGGGCCTAAGTTTTCAAATATCGGAAGTTATTTCAAGTATAATAATTTAAGGAAAATAAGTAAGCAGATACATTTCACGTTTTTAACTGTTAAAAGTGATTTATTTAAATGTGTAATACTAGCGTAAACTACGGATAGTGCTGATCGCATACGTACAGTACTACGGATCACTTTATTAAATACTGTTTATTGTTTACGCGAGTAGTACACATTTAAATAAAACACTTTAACGGTTTAAAACGCGATGTATTAGTTAAACTTATTTGTAAATGATTTTTTACTTCGGCCCGACGTTTCGGATACTTGCAGCAGCCGTGGTCACGGGCAGAACTAATTAATCGCGTTTTAAACCGTTTAGTGTTTTATTTAAATGGATCAGTTTATTTTTTTATGACATGGGGGGAAAGCAATGTATAATTTAACGGCCCGACCTTAAATGAATCTAATTTGAGAAAGTCATAATAAGATCGGATTTTATTGAAGAATCCCGGCCCGACAATGGGAGAAGCATCTGCTCCAAAACGGTTCTATAGAGCAATAAAAGCTTTGTTGGTCTATTACAAATCAGGGGATGCCGTATTGAGTGCTTTCTTTGTTAGGGACCCCTTTAGTTTATCACACCATTACATTACTAGTATTTTTAATTTTTTTTCTCTTCATCATCACTTTTAACAGTTCATCTGTTGTAAATGAAGTACCCGACTTTATATTATAACATTACTGTGTTACGGCGTGAAACGGAGTTAAGTTTAATTGTGAATGAGTCATAACTTATATATCGCATTTTAAACCGTTAAATGTGTTTTATTCGTGTTCTACCCGCATAAACTACAGAATACTGTTTTATTATATTCGATCAGACATCTGCCTCCCTGTCTTGAAAATTGTATTTAGGTACGTACACGAAGTCATAGTTTCGTTACGGTTCCGTTTTGTTTCAGTTATTTTTGGATTCACATAAATCCTATATCTAAAAAGATTTATAATCTCTGCACGGGCTGTCCCTATTCTCAATTCTTTGGATTTTTCATTTTAAAATTTGCATTTTTACATAATTTTACGCAATCAATGTTTTGAGTTACAAAGGCAGATTTCTATATGTAAATTTATAAGGAAAAGAGCTAGCTTGAGTTAAGTGAAATGTTTTCTATCGTTATTCTGCTCTGATTGTTTTTATTGTCAAACACACTTTACATGTTCATTCATTAAACGTTTTTGAAACGCTTAAGATGGTGGAAATAAACGTTGTCGAGGAAAATGAAATAAGATGTAAGACAAATATCAAGCGCAAACGAATGCCCAGTTTGTGCCAAAAATAAAGGTTAAAAAAGGTAATTGTAAAAAGCCATTGTTATTAGAAGTATCACAAATTTCAAAAACTGCGGCGAAAAAGATGGCGTCAGCGAAGTGAGTTTGACTTTTGAGAACACCCTCCGTATTCAGTTCCACGGCAGCTGTATAGCATCCATGTCGTCCGTAGTTAAACAGATTGTATCAACATAATACAAATAATTTAAATAAAACACTTTAACGGTTTAAAACGCGATATATTACTTAAACTTATTTGGAAATGATTTTTAACTTCGGCCCGACGTTTCGGATGCTTTGCAGCAGCTGTGGTCACGGGGAGAAACATCGGGCCGAAGTTAAAAATAATTTTCCAATAAGTTTAACTAATATATCGCGTTTTAAACTGTTAAAGTGTTTTATTTAAATGTGTACTACTCGCGTAAACTATAGGCAGTATTATACAAATAAGACAACATTTAAAATGAAAAATGATTACTTTATTTTCTGTTGTTCATATTTAGCCAAGGACTCTATCAAGGGCGGGCAATAACTCTTATAAGCAAAATTAAACGCTTCAGACATAACTGTTTAATAAGAATGTAATTGAGTTAGTGATATTTGTGTTTTATAGTCACGATGCAAGAATAAACACGAATAATAACAATTTTGTATTTATGACATGCCGATATTAACATTGTAAAAACGTAATATTGTTTTTCTATTGAAATAAAACTTTGAACGATTTAAAACGCGTAATATATTAATTAGTTTGTTTATAATTCAACGGATGCTTTGCCTAAGGTGTTGGCTTTGGCGTAGCATTGCATATTGCATAGCATCCGGGTCGTGGGTAAACTAAAACTTACATTAAAATAAGTTACCTAATATTTTACCATAAGAGTTTTCAACCATAAATTGTTTTATTTATAGGTGTACTACTCACGTAAACTCACGTATATTTATACCAATTGCATGCAAATATAATAATTATAAAAAGCAATGAAGCAATAATGTGATATTAGATATAAATGTCTAACAAAAAATACTAAAAACTGACAAGAAAAAATTACATCACTTTTCTCCATCTCCCTATATAAGCACGTATACAGGATTCCAAATAAATTATTATGAATGTTTTACTCCTACCGTTCACGCCGAGCACTTCCATATTTTCTGCATCCGGATTTAGATTTCGTAAGTAAGTCACTGACGCGAGTACTTTGAGTCTTTGAGTATGGGTATTAAGGTCAGAGTGGGTTTGATGTGAGATTGTTCGCTAAGTAAGTGGAACTGAAACGAAGATTGTACTGTGAGAGACTATTCAAATATCGATAGGACTTATACAATTATTATTTACTAGCTGTGACAGTGACTTCGTCCGCGAATTCCACAATTACAGTTATTGTGATCGTCGAATTTGTTTTTGCAAACCTCCTTTCCAAAGATCGCGGACTATACTATACTATTGCGGACTAGATTTTTAGGTCATTTAAAGAGGAAAATTTCTTTTATATACATATTTTTTCGGTATCTTGAACCAAATTTTCACCGTTTTATCCACATTCCCTATTGTTTCTTCCTTCCTTTCTTTTCTTTTTTTTTCTTTCGGTCGAGGCGTGATGCGTTATAGCGTAAACTCATTCTCGATAAATACTCTTACCTAAACAAAATTATTTTTTCAATTCGAACCAGTTGTTCCTGATATTAGCGCGTTCAAACAAACAAACTCTTCAGTTTTATAGATTAGTATAGATATATATAATGAATACATGTGGCATCTACCGTTAAGTGGGGTATAGGACGTTACGTATCTGATTCATTAATCGATGTAACTTCTAGACGTAGGATCAGTGTTTAGCTCTCCTAGAGGTTAGCTTTCCTTGAAAACACGAACATTACTTTTTAAATGAAACATTTTAACGTTTAAATCGACTTTTGAAAATAACTATATCCTTGCAGTTTCTTCAGTCTTATAATAAAACAGGCCATGTCAAAGATGTCACAAGAGCCGGACAGCATATTATTGAATTTTATTTTAGGTTATCGCATCATGTTTAGTTAAATTGTAACAAATGTCAATGACAGGTCAAGAGGTTTAAAACGTGATTAGAAAACAAAGAACAGTTTTATTTTTATCACACAATAGTAATATTTTAATTGAATGGAAACTTCTTTTACTGACTTTATCAATACTCTATAGAATATGTTTTTATATTTATTAAGTCCTTACTAGGTAATGTTATAAATGCGAAAGTAACTCTGTATGTCTGTCTGTCTGTTACTCTTTCACGCCAAAACTACAGACCGGATTTGAATGAAATTTGGTACACATATGGTCTAGTCCCTGAGGAAGGACATAGGCTTTTTATTGCGAAAAGGGGTTAAAGGGGGGAGGGGGCGGGAGAAAGTTTGTATATGAAAATTCGTGGTTTTTAAAGCTAAAACAATGAAACTTTCTTCTTTGGCTTTTTAGGAATAGGAGTGGGAGTGGAAGTTAGAGTAGGAGTGATGTGAGGTGAGAGTGTTGCGGCAAAGTGGCACGTACAACATAGATTGGCTGCGATAAATGCCCAATTACATACATTAATAAATAGCCTAAAAAATTAAAAAAATCTACTCCACGCGAACGAAGGCGCGGGCACAGCTAGTAAAAACTATAACGCGATATATCGCTTCCAGGCAATGCTCTATTATTTAAATATCGTGGTAATGATAAAAACAAAAAAAAAATACAGTCGACATAAAGAACCTTTTTGAAGTCAGTTAAATTATTTAAAAGGTACACTTTTTGACACTACACAATTAAGGTTAAATAATCGAACTAAATTCTACAATAGAGGATAGAAAAGCATAGAGTATACTTGGTGGTAGGTAAAATACAGCAGCCCTGTATCTAAATAAGATACGCCGTTGACCTATTTTGGCTTTATATATTAATCCAGACTGAAACCGAAACGCTATTAAAATTGACGGCTTTTCATCTGTGGATGGTAGTTCGTAGATTATAAATTGATTAGAAAAATGTTGGAATTGGTAGGGATCGAATCCACTACCTGTTAATAGCCATACATTGCCATTACATCAATGCCCAACAAATTATGTATGCGAACAGACATAAAATTTGTCCAATTTGGACTGCAAACAATATGTAAGGTAAGTTTAATGTGATAAACATTTTATATAGGTACATAGAATACATTCATATACTTATAAACAACGTGGTTGTCTGACTTTCTCTACTTATAGGGTGTGCTTACTATGAAGTGTAACTAATTCATTAATATTCATCTGTAGCAGTCTGTGGTATTGGAATCTTGGCATATAAAGCAGTTAATATTATTAATAATATATTAGTTAGATTAAAAATGTACTTGTTTAATAGCAAAGTTTGGGTTTAGCATTTCAGCCGCAGTACTGAAGAAAGGAGAAAAGAAAAATGCCGACAATTTATCTGATTTCATCCAAACGATTTATGTGTTATTAATACTTTTCTTAGCAAAATCAAATAGATATTATATATCTACGTCAACTTCACTATTGAATTTAACGGACTTTTTCTATTTTATTTAAAGAAATAACATTAGAAAATAGTAGGCAACGAAAGTGTCGACATCTATCGTAACAGACGAGTAACTTAAAACTGAACAGAGATGGCGCTGTAATAAATAGCTTACAATTTTACATATATGTTTTTACTATTCGATAACAGATGACGCTGTCGACAAATGAAAATTCTTACCTTCCATGACATAAACGATGCTACCGACATCTCCCTCTTTAATAATCACACTCCCAGCGGCATATTCAACTGGATACATGCAGTCCACGATTTCTCGTATTTGTGTCATTTCCAAATTCTTCATGAAATCGTTGTCTAAGATTGCACTCTTGATCAGCTCCCGCGACCTGGAAGAACAAACATAATACGCATTAGTTTAATATTCCTCCCTTAACTGATTTTAGGTAAATTTCATTACCCTTTTTAGAGACACAGAATCATAATTATAGACAGCATACATCCCTGACTCCCTTGATGAAATGTGAAATACCCCAGACATATTAAATCAGAGCCTAGCGAAGTTAAATCTGAGCGAGATATGTTGTCGATCTAATTTTGCATTATACATATAGCTGTAAAAGCCTTATGTGTCCCAGAACTTAGATGTAACTATAGTTAAATATGGTATTTGAAAACTTTAATATGTTTCACATGTTATCGTACTTGATGGCAATATAAAAATTAAAAACCGATTAGATAAAATTTATACACGATAGCTTAATTGGTTAGAGCTACAGCACGGAAAGCTGTGGTTTCTGATTCAAGTTCTCCCCCCTGTTACAAATTTGTTTAATCTATAATCGAAGTTTAATTTATATATCCTGCAACTGCCTGGAATGGTTCGGAATTCCATACTAAAGACTGGAATATAGACACCAATAGAAATTTGAAAATCTTATTCTTTATAATACCGGAAGCCCGACAATTATGGGGTGCCACAAATCGATTTATCATTTCAATACTTAACACTAATCTATAACCCACAACAAAATGAAAACATTTAGATAAAAATAGTAATCTATTAACTATTTCCATTTTTGCATATCTATTAGTACTGCGATCGTTAAAATCAAGGTTGCTCTTATTAAAAGAGATTAATGAAAATAACCTTTCAATAAAAAACATATTAATCGAATCTAATTGCATATTCGCCCGGGGTGTCCAATGAGCACAGTAATTATAGGCAATTAGATATAATCAGTAATGTTATAAATGTATTTAAGAGTTGATTACAGCTTAACAACTTTATTATTATGGTAATCGCAAATCAGTGTTAATCGTTTTAAGATTCGTACATGTATTTATTTAAACGGTTTGGGAATAACAAATTAAACTGAATTGTTTAAATAAAACACTTTAACGGTTTAAAACGCGATATATTAGTTAAACTTATTTGAAAATTATTTCAAATAAGTTTAACTAATATATCGCGTTTTAAACCGTTAAAGTGTTTTATTTAAATGTGTACTACTCGCGTAAACTAAAGACAGTATTTAAACTGAATTGTTTTTAAATCTAAGGTTTTTATTTAATGTCGTAGTTGTAAATAAAAAAAACAATTTTATTAAAACTCAAACGTTTTATCTTTAAGAATCTTTATAACAGCCTTTCATCCATAACCCGGACTATTCACTGAAAACTAATAAATGTTTTAACTGGTCTAAAATGTTTTATTTCATACTTTAAATCTTTTAAAACGGTTAAAAATGACAACCGTTAACTAAAACAATTGTCCATCAACAGAGTACCACTGATCACTTAATAAAAACAAATATATTTCACGTTTAGACCAGTTAAAAGTGTTTTATTTTATTTTTAAGTACTTCAATTACATGAGCATTATAATATAAATGAATCTTTTAATCATTGTATCACTATTGAAAACTTTAATATTTCGCACATGATATTGAACATGATGGCACTATATAATATATATATATATATATAAATAGAAAAAAAAATTACGACTCGGGCAGTACTTGAACCGGCGTCGTCAGCGTTCCGTGCTGTTGCTCTAACCAATTGAGCTACCGAGTCCTACACCTCCTGTCATTCACTTTATAATTTTAAAAATACATTGTATTACTTATCCGTAATATAAGTAGCTACTTATGGAATGTGTACTCATAAAATAGTCAAAAGATTCCGCTGGACACACTTGTTGCTCATCAAATCGCGATACATTCGTGTCATGAATTGTGCCAAAGGCGAGGACACGCAATAAAGTTCGAACGTAATTATATACCAAACGGGACCAATACGAAGGTACTCCAGCTAACACAGGTCGACCTCGATCAGACAGCACCATAGTCGAGAAAGAAATTCAAACTGATTGATGGATAACGATACAAATGTTGTATAACGCGTATGTATTATAAGATTTATCGGTATCGTGCGATTGAAATATCGATCTCTGATGAAATATCGATGCAATTTAGGATAGAGATTACTTTAGGAACCTTTACGATAGTTATTGGCCATTAATCTGATCTTAACTAAAATATAAATACGTTTATTCAGAAACAACATTTACAATTAAACTGAATATAGCAAACAATATCAAGAAGCAAATACAAATTTAATTTACATTTTAATTAAATATGTACATTGTGCCTCTGAAGCCACTCAGCTACGTTGGGACTGATGTTACTCCTTGAGAGCTAACGCAAGCGAGATCGTTCTGAATCTTTACTATTATATATATTTATTTGTAAAACATTCAAAGAAGTTACATCTCATCTATTCCGGGATTCAAACCCTGGACCTCGTCATCTGCCTTTAAATATTTTCTTTACATTAGTTAAAGCCTGTCTAAGAGTGACTGAACTTAAACACGTGTCCAGCAGTGGGATATTAATACCTTAGAACAATTTGTATTTTGGAAAACGATGCTACAGTTGCCAAGATATACTCACTTCATACTTTTCGATATCTTAACCAACTTCATTTCATACTCTTGCGTCAATGACGACAGAGGCTCAGCAGATATAGCAGTTCTCTTCAACCTGGGTTCAATAAGAGGCAGTACTCTAGTATTCTCAACACCAGGCGGTCTAATCACCACACATTCTTCCTCCACCTCAACGCCATTCCTCTGCATGTCAATCATTTGCCTAGTCAACGGTTTGACGACTTGACGAAATTTGTCGATCTCATTCTTCAGGTAACGTATCGTCGCGTCTCGCTCGTCTATTTCGTTTTCTAGCATCGCTATTATTTTGTCCCTCCTCTTCAACTCTTCCGTCCTTTCCATCACTAGCCTCTTCAAGTCCATGTACTTCTTTTCCAGTTTGAAGTAATGGTCGACTTTACACTGTGTCGTGTGTGTGTGTGACATTTTGATGTTTGTATATCATTGAAGGGGAATTGTTTTTGTATTCTCACTTAGGCACTAGGAGTTGAATTTAGTACGTTTGTTGAAATAGACGCGTGAAGCTAAACTGTTGAAGTGTTGTACTTTTGCTATCAGGAATAATGTAGATATGATAAGCTAATATAGTGATGAGTCGGATGGTTTATTTGATTTCAATTAGGTTACTTTAATCGTTCAATGAAATGGACAAGTTGTGTTTGCACCATCAAGTGGTAGATATAGATATAGCTAAGAACTAAGTTAATTTTGACGGGTTTGTTGATCAACGGGCCGTGTGTTCGACCACTATCGGGACCAATGTTTCTAATGAATGTATATATATGAAGGATGTTAGACTTTGTCTGGAAATCTGGATAATTATCAACAGATGAAAAATCTGTTAAGCGCATGTGGATTTCTGAATATCCAAAGCCCAAATAGGTCGATAGCGCATCTGGTTTAGATAATATATAGCTGGGGTATTTTATTTTCCATCAAGTGAACTATATGCTTGTCTGTACTCTTCTATCATACATAAGCATTTACCTCCGTTTAAAGTGATCATTTTTTATTTTGTAACGTGATAACGTTAGCTTAATTAGTAGAGCAACAACGGCTGAGATCTAGATTTCGAGTCTTGTCGGTGTCAAGAAACTCACACTTTAAAAAATTAAAGCTATTATATATATCGTATTTAATTCATTTGTATCTTCACCAGCTATGTAAATATGTGAATCGTATTTTGTTTCACTCTTTCACAATACACCCATACTCAACAGTTCAATACCAACCTCTCAATGACTGTATTGTGGTCACACAACTTTTTATAGACACTCCTACGTCATACATCTGTCAGTTTTAATTGGCTCTATTAAAATGAGTCTACACAACAGTCTAATGAATTATCTACTGTATAAAAGGCTGGGCGAAGGTCTAAAATGCGTTTGTAACGAGAAATATTAGTTAATCAAAAATTATTTATAATTAGTACTGTCATTGAGTACGATGGAAATGATAAACGATTTTAGTATTGTCAGAAGCCAGTAGTACACATTTAAATAAAACGGTTTAAAACGCGAAATGTATTAGCTAACTTATCTACAATTTATTATTACCGAGACCACGACTCCTACGCACACGAAACGTCAGGGTTTAGTTAAAATAAATTGTAAGTAAGTAAAAAATAATACGCGTTTTAAACCATTAGAAAGTGTTTTATTAAAATGATAAACGATTTGTACGAAGAAGTTATGCACTTTAATTGGAAGTAATAGTACTGCAAACACAAAACAGACAAAAGTAGGTATGTGTTTGTTATTTATTTTAATTAAATAGATAATATGTTAGCAACGGCTAAGAAATCGTTACTTCATACACTACGTTTGTATTGATATCGCTATATCTTATCGTATGTACAATCCCGCATCTGACATTCATCAATATCTGACACAAATACAAATACACGTATTTACCTGATCGGCGTAAACACGTGGAAATTTAAGCTAAAATAACCATGTCCTAGACCTGCTTATTGCATTGGACAGAAGCCCAGAAACACGATTCTGCACTACTCTTAAAAATCATAATTTAAGTGTTGGCAAAAAATAAACAAAGATTCAATATAATACTTTTAACCGGTTAAAAAGCGAAATATATTATAACTTATTAATAATACTCGAATGGCATCCCGAGAAACGAGAATTCTGCTCGTTCTACTTCTAGTTTCCTTGGCGCTGGCAATTCCGTGGCAATTTGACTTAAGGGACATCCTCCATCTTTAGTCCTCACGAAACTACGACTGCTGCAAAGGACCCGAAACATAGGGGCGTAGTTAAATAAATAATAATATCGTATATAATCGTAAATAAGTTAGGTAATATATTTCGCTTTTTCAACCGTAAAAGTGTATTATTTATATGTCGCGTATACTACAGACATTAAGTAATGTCTGTGTAAAGTAAATGGAAGATCGAAACTGAGCAACTTCAGTAATTATTATTACTTATGATTTATATCAATAGACAGACAGAGATTTTTTCCATAAACGATGAACGAGTAAGTAGCGCGCAGGTCACTTTCGTCGGTAGCGGGTAATTGCCGAGGCAAACAGTAAAATGTTATCATATTGGAATTCATCAAAAAGCCAGATAATATTCTTTGCTTCTGCCTGACGTCACGCCGTGCTAAGCCCGTTTTAGCTAAAGTTGACAGAGTGCGGACTAATGCTATTTACGGATTTTGACGTTATCACGACAACGAACCGCCTAAAACCATTAGGAAATCGCGCGTTACTTGCGTAACGGAGTCAACGCGGTTTTATTTTGCTACTAGCTGATCCGGCAAACGTTTTGTTGAATGCAAGAATATAATTGCTTACTATAAAACGGTTAATCTTGAAAGATAAACATATACTGCCACTGATTTTTTTTAATAATTTGAAAAGCGATCATTCTCTCATATGTTTTGGTTTCTTGAACCGGTTTCGTAGCGGCAACGGAAGCCCTCAAAGCCTAAAGTCGTACCTTGATGATAACCTAATGCCAACCTCGATAATAACTCTAACCGACACAAAAATAATTGAATTCGAACCAGTAGTTCCTGAGATTAGCGCGTTCAAACAAATAAACTCTTCACCTTTATAATATTACTATAGATTCATTAAATATAAGTGATTCTAATTATACGAGGGATTTTTCAGATACATCTGTATTCTATTTAACAGTTGATCTACAAGATGAAGACCATATACTAACTGAAAAATCACGATTCAACTAACTACATTACACATAGTACACAAGATATACACCGCACTAGCTTCATGAACATAAAAACAAACAAAATATGTATATTTAATACACTTTAACAATTTAGATGAGATGAAATATATTTAACGTCGCGAATTCGTCATTTACTTTCTTTAGTTACCATACCTTGACACTAATTAGTAGCAGAAATCCGTCAATGTCAACGATGCAAAGAAAGCTCTCGCAATAGCCTTTAAAATTTACTATATTATATATTTGTGAAATTTTCACACAAGATTAGGCTGCGGTACATCATAATGCTTTGGTAAATTAAATATTCCAATCCGTTTAAGGCCATCAATAAGACAATAGAGCAATTGTTTGGTCAAACAATTTCTCTGCAATCTATAAATAGAAGGAAATGAATCATTGGAGAAAAAAACTGGCATCACGATCAGGAAACTAGTCCTCGAAGGCTCTATTGAATCGGAAGTTAGTGAAGCATTAAGAGATCACGTAGAAAATGCCTGAACTAATTTCAAATATAGTGTTGCTTCTAGACCGATTACTTTAGGTTTTTAAAGCTCGCGGCTCAAATACATCTCAAAACCTTTTAAAATTCTTTAATCTTAAGGTTTAAAATATATACTGGCCAACATTATTATAAGGTAATTATATTCATATTCACCAAAATCATAAAGCTGCGTTAACGATTGTTAAAATCAATCATCACCTAATTGTTAACTTCTGAACACAGGCCTCAAAAGACGAAAGAGATTTTTCCGTGCAAATTACTGCACAAATCCGTTAAAGAAATAATAAGTAGGTATTCAGTTTCTATCAACACTTCAAACAATTTGTCATTAAATTCTTTTATGATATTTAACTGCTAATTCGTCTGAGTCAGGTACTCGAGCCATTTCAATGTACACTTAGATTCTATCATCACAACTTATGTCAATGTTAAGTTATAGGTCAAAGCATTTTGCTTTTTATGCGTCGTATGTTCGTTTAAGAAAATAATTAATTGTTTAGTGTTGAAACAAGTGGATGTTAAAATATAGCAAAAGTACATTTGTATTTTTCAATAAATACCCGGGGACGAAAATGTTAATTGTTTAGCTTATCCAGTGTCACAAAAATGAAACCGCAAAACTATCAAACTATGATGGTGATGTTCTCGTATTTTTTGCGCGATTTTTTACGCGAGCACCTATTTACGTACAGTTCGCGCGCGCGTCGCGTATTAACTGCTGTTTCGCTTTGCCTCGAAATCAGCCTTAGTAGATGAACTTATTTAAATTCTCCAAGCCTGAATCATTTATCATAGCGATCCAACGACATATGTTTATAAGAAACATTTCTAAAGCCATCTAATACATTCAAATTAAGCATCGTCTGTAGTTTGTGTAGTACACATTGAAATAAACACTTTTAATGGTTCAAAACGCAAAGTGTTAGTTTACTAATGTATCTTAATATTTGGGGTTTAAACCCGCTAAATGTGAAATCTTTAAATATTAAAATCAATTATGTTTATTCAGATTGTGGCTGCTAAAAAGATATCATAGTTCGTTAGATGTTTATTCCTATATCCTTGTAATACTGAGAACTCAAACGTTTAATTTTATTTTTAATACTGATATTTATAATTATACCCATGTATATTCGTGTTAAAAATATATTTAGAATAAAATTAAAATGCAGGCTTTTTTGAAAATTTTGACAAATTCTTTGTCTGTTGAAATCATAAGCCAAAATCCAAGTTTTTCCATCTAATCAATTGAAAAGCAATAGATCCTGTTATAAATTATTCGTAAACAGAAGCTGATAACTACTCATTTGGATGCTTGGCTGTTTCTATTTTTGAAGCCGGCGCTGGAGTTTGACCTTGACAGTGTTTAGCCATAAAACTGGTGACTGCTAATTTTAAATTAACGAAAAGGAAAATTTATTTTTTACACTACAATATCCTCAAGATGAGTCTATAATATACATAGACAGTTTATTTTGTTAGAAAAGATTTAAGGCAAACAATAAAAGATAATGATGGTTACTACCTAGTGCAAAAAAATGTTAAATAAAGGATAGCGAAGCAGTGCAAAAACTGTATCTACGTATATTAGTCAGAATGTTTTTTTTTAATATTTGTCAGCTCTTGTCAAAACTATGTTTATTAATTATAAAATAAACGCTATTTACAATTTTGTAATAAATAAAATACGATATTTTGTTAAAATC